CTAAGTTGAAAATAGTGTAGTTGTGACGTAATTATCGAAAGGGTGTATTACTAACTGTTATTAACCGAGCGCGAGGTCTTTACAGAGAAATATCGGACCGAGGTCTTTTTTGTACAGGGTTTGTACAAAAAGACCGAAGTCCGATATTTCTTTGTACAGACCGATTAATAAAAAGTTTATTATATGGCATTTATAGGCATTTATAGTCGAAACAAATAAGAAATGCATGATTTGAAATGTATATTAGTAGCGTGGTACACCTTTAATCGAAGAAAACGAAAAATACCTGAATGTATTCCTTCCTTTCCAATTAAAACCATTCGCAGATATCTTATTAATTATACCAAATTTTAATTTTAAGTTAAAACTTATAATTTTCGATTTGTTTTGCTGTTTTGTTTTTAAATGCATGCGTTTGTTTTTACGTCATGGATTGCCGGTCCATTACGGGAAAATAATGGACCGCTGAAAGTGCTTCTCAGCCAATCACAGTCCGCCATTTCACCGGAAGTGATGCTTGCCATATAATTATAGTCAATACTGCACAAAAATATGGTAAAACTTATTTGAATGAAAATTAAATGGGACACAGAGTACCCGTATACAGTATATCTAATTGGCTTATATAATATTAACACAAGAAACCTGTGATTATAAATCAAAGCAATGATATACATTATTTTATTTAGACCATATGTATCTCGAATAAAAGAAGGTGATGATATGCTTAATTTCTTTGTCGCCGGAAAGTAAGTAGTGAACTACAGTATACCTGCCTACCTGGTGCATTGTTTGTGCATCATTCCATCAAATATTGATTTTAGTACAACCAGTCATATTTTTTTTGGATAATGCCTTTGCGTAGAGTGCTATGAAGCTCTTCTTGCTTGCTAAACAGTATGATGTATTTAATCCCGGCATTAAAAGTGTGTGTGTGGGGTGGGGGTGGGGGGTGTACGCAAAGTGTACATACCAAATTTATATGTTTCTAACAACTAAAACGTTTTATTGCTGTTCCTGCTTGCTAAACACGCAGTTATTGCAGTATGTTGTATTAATCCTCGGTCTGGGCCTCAGGCTTTAGGTTTAAGGGGCCGGTAATTCTTGATAAAAGCACATGTAGGGAGAGACGCATATATGAAGCACGGTTAAAGGATCCAAATTGTTTCAGGTTTCTAATTCTTTGAGTTAAGCCCTTCTGCCTTTGAAGGGAACGGACTCGAATTACTGAAACTTCCTCAACTATGATTGATCATATATTCACCAATACACCAGATAAAATTGTTTGCTCCGGTGTTTCTCATGTCGGTATTAGTGATCACAGTTATTTAATATATGCATTCCGTAAGTTTTCAACCGGTCTACACAATAAAGGCCATTCTACTGTAAATTATCGAAAATTTAAAAATTTTAACTCTGAAAGTTTTCGAAGTGATATCTTTTCACAGAATTGGGACGTCATAAGGGCGTATAATAATCCGAATGATATGTGGCGTGTGTGGAAAACGACCTTTAATAACGTAGTGGAAATGCATGCTCCTTTACGGACAAGGCGGGTAAGACTTTCTAAGTCGCCCTGGATCACGCCTGAGTTGAAAAGACATATGCATGAAAGAGATATTTTAAAAATCAAGGCTATTCGATCTAAATATATTTATGACTGGGCTGCTTTTAAGAAAGCTCGCAACTCTGTGAACAATGAAATTAAATTTGCGAAGAAAGCCCTTTATATGAATGCTTTTCATGAAAACGAGAGTAATGTGAAAAAAACTTGGGGTATTATTAATGAATTAACTTCAAGAAAACAAAATAATTCACATGTAAAAGAGATTAAACTAAATGGTTCTTTAGTTTATAGTGACCCCCCGGGGTTATCAGAGACGTTTAACACTCATTTTGCTAGCATTGGACCTAAGCTTATGGAGAAGATACCTTGTGATGAAAATAACTGCTCATATTTAGAATATCTCAATTGCCATATTAGTGGTAATACTTTTCAGTTAAAGTCGACAACTTCATCAATGGTTTGTTCACTTTTGGACAAACTCTGTAAATCTAAAGCAACTGGCCTAGATAAAATATCTGCTAAGCTTCTTCGCTACTGTCCTGGACCTACTGTCGGAATCCCTTACCGTAATTTTCAACTGCTCTGGCTATCACCGCAGGCATAAATATTTAATGTATGCTCTGAGCCAGAGTATAAAGGTCAGCGTATGACCCACGGAATGTAAACATTGTCTCGACCGCCATATTTGTAAAATGTTAGGTACAATTTTAAGTTGAATAAAGCCTATTATAACGGCATCTTTCGTAGTTTTCTCACAACAATTTATTCAACTTAAACTATGGATAAAGTATTACGTCCTGAACGCTTAGAAACAGATCCTAAGGCCAATGAAAATTGATATCATGTTTCTCGTCCCCGCCCGCATGGGATTTATCTGCCGCACGAAAATTTTTCATTATTCATTATTTTTGAAAAATAGGCTTACAGGTAAACTACGTGAAGCATTCCTCTTTTGAGTTTCTAAATTGATTGCAATTTTCCTCATTACTTTTGCAATTTAAAAAACTCCCTTGCAAATCCCTTGAAGGAATTTGCAATGTTGCTAAAAGCCAATTAAATTTTCCTCAGTTCCTGTTAGAAGTTCTTAACTTCCTGTTACAAGTTCCTAACTTCCTGTTCTGTTCTGCGCGTTGCAATTGGCTAACAAAAATAATCGACCAATAACAACGCTCAGAACAGAACAGGAAGTTAGGAAATTAAAACAGGAAGTTAGGAAAATTTAAAATGAAGTTTGTTTGTATTGGAATATTGCAACAGTCGATAGGAACATTGCACATTCCCTCAAGGGATTTTCAAAGAGTTTTTCAAATTTGCAAAGCTAATGAGGAAAATTCCAAACGAGTTATGAAGTCAAAAGAGGAACGCTTCACGTAGTTTACCTGTAACAAAACACCAAATTGATCTCCAGATCAAAGTCTTACTGCTACATTCCGCAAGCGCAACTCAAATTGTATCTTTCTAAAGATATTACTCGCCAGAATGCCTCTATTTTTCATGTCAGCCCTGGGAACGAGGATGATCTTGACACGTGATCATTCTCTTCCGGCGCAGATGATAGATTATACCAGATGAATGACTGTGTATCTACCCTATGGCCTATGATTTTCGTGTCCGCGATTTTCGCGAGGCTATCACGCCAGATGACGCGTGCGACACTTACTGCCAAAATGGCGCTTACTGCCAAAATACGTGATTGCTCACGTTTCAGGCCAACGCGTGCGCATAAAAAATCGCGGACACAATTTTGGCTGAGTGATTCATCTGCAGGTATTATCTATCATCTGTGCTTCTGGTTTTCTTCCGATTTCCTGTGTTGCGAAATAATCTGTTCGCGTGGTTTTATTGCTTTTTTGAAAAGATAAATAATCATGCATATTCATGTTTTATAATGATCATTTTATGTGTAGAAATATACTGTAGTGTAGGACGTATTAAATTAAAATGAATTATACACCGATTTACTTCAGAATTCAAATACAAAAAATAATGAAAAATGAAAAATGAAAAAATCCCGCTCCAAATTTTTGAAAATTGTGGACGAGAAACATGATATCAACTTTCATTGGCC